AATGTTTTCTTGTATGACGTGGAAACTGGGGGTGTTCCTTTTTGGCAGGGAAGGGAGAAAGATACTTTGATTTACTCTGATAGCTCTAGAATTCTATTATTAAAATTCCTCACTCTCCTTGGAATGGTAAAGACAAAAGTAGGAAAATATTAGGTACAACAAGAAAAATATAAGCTCAGAGATGTTATTTTATTCTATGACCTAGTCACCTTGTAGTTTCCCATGTATATTAAAAGGATTATTACAAGAGAATTTAGGCTGCCATGTCAACTCAACTGAAGCAGTAGACTTATTTGCTCAATTTTAGTCCATTGAAAGCAGCTCTCCCTTTCCTCTCTCTCTTTTTCTCTTTCCTTCCTTCTCTCCTTCCTTCCTTCCTTCCTTCCTTCCTTCCTTCCTTCCTTCCTTCCTTCCTTCCTTCCTTCCTTCCTTCCTTCCTTCCTTCTATTTCTTCTCAAAATAATTCATCTCTGTTCACTTTCCCCCAACACTCTCTTTATTTCCTTCCTTTCATACTTTCTTCTTCTAAATTAGTTGAGCTCTGTTCTCTCGTCCTCCCTCCCCCAGCTCACCTCTTTTCCTTCTATTCTAGCCCATTTTTGTTCCCTAGGCAATTTCAGTTGGGCATCTGAATCCTTTTAAAAGTCAACCTTTGTCTTTGAGCTCATTGTGTTTACACGCACTGTCCATGGTAGCCGAAGAGTCTCACGCCCCTTTACCAAATTTCCCAGGTCCTGACATTGCTGTAATTCACTCTTAATCAGTTATCCCAGTTTCCCTTCTACTTGTGGGTGTGTCTGCCTATGAGTATGAGTCATCACTGTGTTAGTTCATGTAGCTACCTCAGGTCAGAGACATAATGATCCCATCACTGCCAAGTCCCTGGTATTATCCCTTTATACCCAGCCATATCATTCTCAACCCATTTCTTTCCAAGTCCCTAGTCTGAAGTCCCCTGATGTCTATTGCATTTTGTTGCTTCTAGATTGTTAAAAAAGTGACATAATTTAGTAGGAAAGGTCTGGGCACTGACTTATTTTTATTTAGCTTAATTCCCTAAAATTTTATGTATAGTAATTTACTCTCTTTATTGCTGACTAATATTTCCTGGTAACATATGTGTCATAGCCTTCTGTTGGTGCTGTTTTTTTTTTTTTTTTTTTTTTTTTTTTTTTTTTTTTTTTTTTTTTTTACACCATTGATCATATTAAGGATATCTAAGTTACTTCTTGTGTTTGGATGTCATTTTTTTTGTTCCTTTTTTTTCTTGCATTCCTGTAGATTAAATATTTCATTGAATTCTCTATCTTAAACTCATTGGTTTAGGGTCTCCTCTTCTTGGAAAAGAATCTACCATGTTTTTACATGTATCTCTTTGTACCGTGTTCTCCGTGGTAGTTATGTGAACCGTAACACATATCCAGGGCAGTCTACACTAGAGTTGACGTTTTGCCACTCCGAGTCGGGTGGGAAGCTCACCTTGGCTTAGGACATCTTACCCTCCCATAATTAAGCTCACTGGCAGCTGTGGCTTCCTGCTGCCCTGCCTCACAAGAGAGGGTAGCCCTGCATGTTGCCATCCTGAGGAAAGGTTGAAGTTTAGCTTCAAACACAGTTATTTATGGACCATCTGGACTTTTTCATCATTATTAAGTTAAAAACAAACAAACAAACAAACCTGTATCAGTTGGAATATCTCCTAAGCCAGGGGTGGGTACCCTTATGTGCCACTCACTGATCCTTGTGGGAATTTTGGCTGACTTGATCTTGCGCAGGCCTTGGGCAGACAACTACTGCTGCTCTGAGTCTGTGTGTACAACAACCCTGTTATGTTCAACAGACAGCACTTCACAGCGCTCCTCCCCATTCTCCAGCTCTCACCTTCTTTCCTCTCCCCTGTCCCATGATGCTCCCTGCGCCTGGGGGTAGAGAGTGCTGATATAGTTCCATTTAGAGATGAACATTCACAGACACTTCGTCTCAGTGCTGACACCAGATATGAGTTTGTACTAACTGCTGCCCACTGCAGAAAGAAGCTTCTCTGACCAAGGCTGTGGGTACCACAAATCTAAGGTATAAACATAAACATTTAGAAGGCAATTTACCAACAGCAAGTTTCCTATTAGTGCTTTGCGCCTTCATGATCATGGGCTTTGGACTAGATCTACTATACCAGACAAGCAAGAGCTTCCTTTTGTAGAATGGGCCTCAAATCTGATCAGAGAGCATTTGGCTAATCCCATCATAGCTATGTCAGGGGTATAGCAGTAGGGTGCATTTTGCCTGACGGGTTGGGATTACAACATGTACAGTCCAGCAATGGGTAAGCCTGCTGATGTATCTGATCCCCTAGCAGGCTGTGGAGCAACTTCTCACACTGAAACCAACAGCATGGATGATGCTTCCTGTTAGTTTGAGATTGATCTCGCTATGTCCTGCATCAAAACTGGCCAGACTTATGTTTGAGCCAGGGTCTCCCTGAACTTGGAGCTCACTGATTTGGCTAGTCTGGCTGAGCAGCATGCCCTGGGAGATTCTCATGTCTCTGCACCACAACTGCTGGTGTTTCCGGTGTCATGTACCCATACCTAGCGGTTTACATAAATTCTGGGAATCAAAACTCAGGCCTTTATGCTTATGAGGCAAGGGTTTTTCTAATTAAACATTTTTCTAGTTCCTTTTTTGTTTCTCTTCTTCTTTTTCTTCTTTTTAACTCATAACATTTGAAGATTGTGCTCTTGGTGACCAAGGGCCTCATCAGATTGGTCACTGGTTTCATACCTTTTCCATCAATACAATAACTAGAGTATAGTTTATAGATGAGGATTTTTCATTTTGTTTTTTAGCATCTGTATTATCAAACATAAAACCAGACTTCATATCTCAATATGTGCTATCAGGATTTTTCATTTGGTAGCATTGCTGATATTATTATATACAAATTATCCTGAATTTTAAAATTATTTTATATTTATCTATATGTCTTTGTTAGTTTCAGCTGTCAATTTGACATAACTCAGAGTCACACAGAAAGGGGGAACCTCAGTTGAGGAATTGCCTAGATCAGATTGGCCTGTGGCCATGTCTGTGGAGCACCTTCTTAGTTGCTAACTGATATAAGAGGGCCCAGCTCACTGTAGATGGTGCTATTCCTGCACAGGTAGGCTTGGACTATATAAGAAAGGTAACTGAGCAAGCCAAAGACAGCAAGCCGTGTTCTTCTGTGGGCTCTACTTTAGTTCTTGCCCAGGTTTCCCTTGGGGATGAATAGTAACCTGTAAGCCAAATAATCCTTTACTTTCCCAAGTAGCTTTTTGGTCATGGTATTAATCACAGCAATAGAAAGCAAACTAGGATTCATTATTTATGGTATATTAAATGATTTAGATGAATTTTAGTCGTTCAGCAAATATTAAATAACCAGGAATTGAGCTTCCCAGAGACTTACACATTGTGTTATTTATGCCGAGGAATCTCCCAATCTTCTGGTTCTGTAAATCATTTATGCTTTATATTTATCTTGACTAATCTCTTCCTTCTTTTTTCCTTGGATATTGTTTTATGTTTTTACTTATATGTTTTTAAATTATTTATTTGTTGAAATAACGTATCATTTCCCCCTTCCATTTCCACCCTTCAACCCCTTTTAACTACCTCCACACCCTACCTTGTAATCTTTCAAATTAGAAAAGTTTTTAGTAGACTGTAAAATCTGGTGGGCTGGGAGGAGCAAGAATATCACCTGCCTGTATTATTATTTTTATTAATGTATTAAATGCATGACTAACCTTTACTTTTCAGGTTAATAACAAATATATTTAGATATGAACTTTGGTTATACCCAATACATTTGATAACTAATAGTATTCTAATTGTCTATAAGGTAATTTATTCAATACACTCTTAAAACTTGAGGAAATATGATTAATGATAATGTTTTAAATTTCAAAATTTTAGTTAGGATATTGAATTTGATATTGCTTTCTCTATATATCTATGCATATTCACACACTCATATGGATTCATATGTGTCTGCAGCTATTCTGTATATCAGAGTTAAGAGTTCATATAAGTCTCTAATTTGTAGAGCAAATTTGCTTTTGTAATGTATTCAACACCTGCATGCCTGCGTGATTTTTTAAAACAACATACTGCACATTTGATGTGCACTCAATCTCCTGCCAAAGCAGCAATATATTCGTTTAGCTTAGTGCTTACAACACTCTCTGCACTTGCTTTTCCTGAATACTGAAATGAAGTGTTAGAGGCTTCTTCTGTTAGCTATAGTGAATGTTCTTTACGTCCCGTACTGGCAGAAGAGGCTCCCAGTGACCCTTAGGAGAAATGATCAGACCCTTAAATTCTCCTTCCTTATTGCTTTTTTGATAGTATAAAAGACAATTTTCAATATTAGATGTAATTGTTGCAACTGTCATCTTTTGGATACAACTTTATACTCATTTAAGTTGTTTTCCTAGCATGCGCGCGCGTGCACACACACACACACACACACACACACACACACACACTATTCTGAGAGGAAAAAGGTATAAACATTTTTATGGGCTTGTGACTGTGTATAATTTTATAACATCAAATTAGTTTTGAAAACTTGTGTAAGAATTTATTGCCAGCAGCAATAAAGGAATAACATTTAATGTCTGCTAGTGTTGGGAAGGAAACATATAGCTACTAGTTGAGGACATATTTTGGAGTAGGTGAAGATGCGAGCAAATATATTTTTCTTAGTCAGGATGTATGAAGACATTTCCTTTGCACACCAGTGGGCCTAACCCTGGGGATAAAGTGGTAAGTGTCAGACAGTATGTGATGGGAAGATCTAGAAGACAGTTCTGAGAGCCCAGGCTCCTTAGAGGGCATTGGGACACTTTCATGCAGATTTCTGATGCTGTAATGACCATGCCGCGCATGCCGTTTGCTGCCTTGTTCTAGCTTGACACAACAATTAAAGACATATATTCATGTGCTCTACATTGCAGGCTAATTACACTTTTTACTTCGTGGATAAGATAAAAATTTTATCAGAAACACTTCTGAAGATGGCCAGCGTTTTCCAGGGAAGTGGGAGTGGCCGAGTGTTCAGCCAGTTGCAGGTATGTCGCCTGACTGAGGGCTGGGACCCACCCCTGCTGATTGGCTGAGATTCTGGAGTGTCCCTGTAGAAAACTTAACTATTCTGAAGCATGCTTGGGTCCCACAGTTGACTAGCAAAGTTGTCAGTGGTTGGATAGGTTTTTCAAAATCTGTGATTTTTTAGAGTTTTCCCCATGCAAATTAGCACTATGTAAAAACTAATAATTTACTAATACTGATATTTAAAATTTTTTATTAAATTTAATGTTTTAAAAATATTTTACATTGTATGGGTCACCCAAAACAGAAACACAAAATACAAACCAAAACACTAGATGAGAGCAGAAAGGGGACTGTCTGGGAAGGAGGGGTTCAGCAAGAATAGGAGGGGAATGAGAGACGGCCATAGGGCATGAATATAATACAATTTAGTATGTACATATATGGAGATGTCATGATGAAACCCATTATTACATATAATTAATATATGTGAATAAAAATAATACTCCAGTATTGACAAATATGGTTTAAACTGGCCCATTTCTTCAGAGCCCAAGAGCCATCACTTATAATTGCTTAGGCAGGCCGACAAGTAACTTTTGGGCACTTGTAGAATCATAACATGAAAATCTAGTGATGTGAGATAATTTGCCCACATTTTTGTCCATGTTTGACCTACACGTTACCCACTGGACAAATAGTTCATGCTGTAGACTTGGGAGCCACAATGGGTAGGCGTGAGTCCACGTTCCCATGCTTACACCAGCCATGTGATGTGATCTAGTCACTGTACAGGCTTTTGCATTGAGAATAAGGAAATAATAGCATCTTTGAATGTAAGCGAGCTGAGCTTTGCGGTTGGCCAGGGATGCAAAGATGTTGGTTGGTTCTCTAAGAGCAGTTAATCTCTAGCCCTTGGGAATGTGGCTGTTGGTAGGGAATTCGGATGGTGGTAGGTTGCTCATGCCCCAGTGGGTTGCGGCCCACCCACATGCACTTGGGAGTACTAACTTGACTCGGAAAGTTTAATTATAAGAAAAATCACATTAAAGGATATGAGACTGAGAGAGATGGGACAGGGGATGCTAGGGGGAGTCGGACAAGGTGGTGCTGGATGGATATGATCAATAGACACTGTATAAATGCGTGAAGCTTTCAGAGAATAAGAAACACTAGCTTGAGGTGGGCATGGTGGCACTCACCTTTAATCCCAGCACCTGGAAGTTTGAGGCCAACCTGGCCCCATAAAGTAAGTCCAAGACAGCCAGAGCTCTACTACGAAGAGAAACTCTGTCTCAACCCACCCTCCACCCCCCCAAAAAAAAAATCCAAAATAAATAAATAAATAAAGATATTAGTTTGAAAAGAAAGAATTTCACCACCACAACAGTTGCTAAAGCAAAAGGAGCAGGAGCTGGGAAAGAACTGAGGCAAGAGCATGCGATGATGTTCAGATCTAACACAAAGCAAGGAGACAGACATAAAATGAGGAGACGAGGCTCCAGACTGCAGCCAGCCTTGTGCCGTCACAAACACGGCATCTAGTTCCGTAACAGTATTCTTCTTCAATTTGTTTGCCCATGAATTCTTTTGTTAACACAGGTCTCATCAGCTTTTCTGTAATGGACCCAAACAGAAGATACTGTAGGTTTTTTAGGGTCTCTGTTGTAGCTATAAAGATCAGCATCCTGCATTGTAATTACCAAGGCAACAGTGCATAAGGTGCCACTAGAACATGAGAACACTAGAAAGAGGAGCCTGATGCCTAAGAAGTCTGCAGTTGGTTGAGCAGCGCTCATAAGAATGTCAGAAATTAGAGTCACGCACTTGCCTTACAGACCTTACTCAGGCCTTCTAGTCACAGAGTACTTCCTACTCTTTGTTTTTTAAAAAATTATTTATTATTATTTATTCACTTTGTATCCTGGCTGTGCCCCTCTCCCTCATCTTCCCCAATCCCACCTTCCCTCCCTCTTCTCCCCCTATGCCCCTCCCCTAGTCCACTGATAGGGTGGGTCCTCCTCCCCTTCCATCTGACCCTAGTCTATCAGGTCTCATCAGGACTGACTGCATTGTCTTCCTCTGTGGCCTGGCAAGGCTGCATCCCCCAGCGGGAGGTGATCAGAGAGCCAGCCACTGACTTTATGTCAGAGACAGTCCCTGTTCTCATTATTAGGGAATCCAGTTGGAGACTGAGTCTATGGGCTACATCTGACCAGGGGTTTTAGGTCCTCTCCATCCATGGTCTTTGGTTGGGGAACTTTTTTTTTTTCTCTGTTGGTCTCCTTTTGGAGCTCCTCCAGGTCTTTCTATCTCCCCCTTATTTCATACTTCCTGTTCTCAGACTTGAGATCTTGCTGGTGGAAAGCTGTCAGTGCTTATCGTGAAGTCCAAGCCTGGCTCTGCCACTAGATGGAGTCCTTACCACTTTTAGGTTCTGCCCCATCTGTTCCACAGTTGATTTTCCTTCCAGTAAAAGGTAGCTGTAATTTCCCCCAGAGAATTCTTGTGAGATTAAATGAACTAATGTGTAATAAAGAACCCTGTACACTGTCTGGCAAATAGCTGAGGCCCAGCGAAGGAAGACAGGCAAGATTTAAGAAAGAGCAAGCAGCCAGACTTTATAACACAGACTTTTCTCCAGAGTCCGGACTAGGTGAAACTGCTGAGGGACAAGGCAGGGGGGAGAAGGAAAGGGGTTAATCACAGAGGGTACAGATCTCACGAGAAGGCCTAATGTGCTGCCATTTGAGGTTGCACAAAGAGAACTGTCACTATCCACCCAAAAGTCCTTAAAAATAAAACTTGTTTAGGTATACATGTGTGTATTCTCTCTACCATGTGGGTCCAGGGAATTGAATTCAGGTCATCAAGTTTGGTAGCAAGAGTCTTTAACTACTGAGCCATCTCACCTTTCCAGAACTGGCACATTTTATAGCACTCACATCTTAATTCTGGCACAAAGACCCACTGTGTCTGCAGTTTTCCTGCTGGTTGTTGGGTATGGCCAAGTGTTCTGATTTTGCACCCAGTGCAAAACCAAACTGTAGAATTTTATTGTCAGATTAATTTTGGAGCAAAGCCATTGACATGCGAGTCAACATAAGAGCAACGAGAGGAAAGAGAGGCAGAAGCTGCGTTTTGCAATCAGGCCTAAGAAAAGATCTGGGAGCGGCTGGAGTCCTTTTGGGTGACCACTACCTTTCTGCAGACATCAGGTTTGCACGAATATGACACAGAGGAGGAACCATGGGAAAGAAAAGATAGCCCTGTGGCTTCGTTAGGAAAATTTGCCCAAATTTACTAATTTTCAGTATTAGAACATCATTGTAATTATAATTTTTATAATCACTATCTTTATTTTTCAAGGTTCAAGACTTAGTATGATGTCTTATCTTAGGGTTTCTATTGCTGTGATAAAATGCCATGAGCCAAAACAACTTGGGGAAGAGAGGGTTTATTTCACTTATGCTTTCAAATCATGGTTCACCATTAAAGGAAGTCAAGGAAGGAACCTGGAGGCAGGAACTGAAGCAGACGTCATGGAGAAGTGCTGCTTACTGGCTTGCTTTTCATAGCTTGCTCAACCTGTTTTATATATATATCCAGCAGCACCAGGGTGGCACCACAGACAATGATTTCTGCCTTCTCACATTGGTTATTGATCGAGAAAATGCCTCAAAGTCTTGCCCACCAGGCTGATCTGGTGGGGAACATTTTCTCAACTGATATTCACCTTTTTCAAATGCCTCTAGCTTTTGTCAGGTTGACAACCAACCTGTATAAAACTTCTTTTAAGTGGATACATTTTATGTTTCTTTTTTCTGTGTCATCACACTTGGAGTAAGTTGATAAGTATTATTGAACAAGAAGGCATGATGCAATCATTTCTGTTAAGCTTCCTTCCTTTATTTTAGGATGCTCTGAGAAACAAATTTATAAGAAACTTTGTAGAGAGCCAGTTGCATATTGATACAGACAAGCTCACTGAAGATCTGCAGACATATGGTAAGGGTGTGTGGATGGCTTGGGTTGGATTCATCTGTCCAGGGCTGCGCTGCTTGGATCCTACTCCATTGACTATGTAGTTTATGAAATTTTACCTTTACTCTTTTCATTCCTGTTTCACTAACTCTAACCTTAAAGGTTTGAAGAAGTATGTCACAAAGTTTGTTCACATATGCATTTCTCTGGTTACATCAGGGAGGCTAGAGAAGGGAAGTGTTCGTTTAGGCATGACACATTTATTGAAAAATAACTGGTGAATATTCTATTTGCAAAAGTGGTAATGATAGGTTGAATATCTCTTACTTAAAATGCTTGGAACACAAGAGTTTCAGATTTGGGAAGGTTTGCATATACTGAAAGGAGTAGTTTGAGGATGGTTTCCAAACCGACATACAAAATTCTTGTAGCTATTACACACCATTTTGAAGATAATTTTGTACATTAATTTCCAGTATTAAACCAAATTTCATGATGTGAGATTTTTCCACTTGTGATTTCATTAGAGCCGTCTGTTTTACTTTGTGATTTTTTTTCATGCTGATTTTCTTTATCTAGGGTTCATCTCCCATGAATTTATTTAAATTGTTGTTATTTTCCATTTATATCTTTTTGGGTAGTTTCTAGCTCTTTTACTGAAAGTCTATTTTCAGTGTAATTAGGCCTAATTATATTTTAATTCCCTGCTATTAACTATACTGTGTGTCTTTTGTTGGTCTTTATTTTTTTTTTGTGAATTTTGGTTATTCTTTATCTCCATGAATATTAATTTTTTAAATTGATTTGAGTTTCTTAGTTTTGAGTGATACTCAGTAGCAGGATTCCTGGGTACCCATTTTTATTTCAGATCTCAGATCTTCAAATCTTTCCTGCCTTGCTTATTGTTTGAAGACATAAATAAATATTTTTAATCTTAATGCTTATTTAATATTGTGCGTATAGACACACCCATGTGTACATGCAGAGCCTGAGGCAGCATCTCACATCCCTCGCTGTTGCTCCTTACTTTATTCCCTTGAGACAGGGTCTCTCCCTGAACCTGGGGCTGGCTGCTTTTTGCCTAGCCTTGTCCCCACTTCTTATATCCCTAACCCAACACCAAGATGACAAATTTGTACGGGCACCCCCAGCTTTTTCAAATATTGGAGTTCCCTCCCTCCTCCCGTCCCAATCCCTCCCTTCCTCCACCCTCTGCACGCATGCCCCTCCCCAAGTCCCTCTGTGGTTCTTTAATCCTAGGATTATTATTCTACAATTAAGGAAAATTCCTTGTCATCATTCCTGTAACATTTGTTACCTCCATTATAAAAAAAAAATGCAATTTTTATGTTTAGAGTTAAAAAATTATCAGGGTTTGCTTGTTGTGATGAAATCCCTAATATAAACAGCCTGTTGGAGGAAGGATTACTTTGACTCAGAGTTCAGAGATGTCATTCCATCATGATGGGAAGGGTGTGCCTTAATGAACAGCTTAAATGATATCAGGAAGCAGAGGAAAGGTCATGCAGGAAAAGGTCAGGGCAAAGCCAATGCCTTGGTGACCTACTTCCTGTAAAGACCTATCCTCCTACTTTTCACCTTTGCCAAATAGAGCCATCTAAAATTCATCTATTGGTTAGGTAAGAGCCTTCATGAAAATCAGTAATTTCTTTGATTTTTTTTCCTCATTTGAGCTATCAGCATTACAGAATATGTACATATTTGTACATATATATGTATATATATTTTCTGACAGCAAACTAAAATATATTTATACATAATATATTTATAATAATTTTATAATTATATAATGTAATATATTAGATATTACCTTTGCCAAATAGAGCCATCAAAATTTTATCTATTGATTAGGTAAAAGCCTTCATGAAAATCAATAATCAGTAATTTTCCATTCAAATTGGAAAAATTAAAGAAAGTGTATATATATGAGAGTTTGCTATTGGCAAATATTTAATTTTGTGTATAAACAAAAGTAGACTTATTTGAGCTATTTTTAAATGAAGAAACATGTTTAATTTTATATGTATTTTTGTGCTGCCCACTGTATAAATAGCAAGCACTGGAGTGAAAGAGAAGTTGATTTGTTCTAATTTGTTTGCTGTCCCCAGGAAGGATGCTGGACAAGATGTTTAACCATGTGGGGGCTGGACACTTTCAGTTCTTGGGTGGTATCTTGGCCAATCTCTCTTCCTGTGTGGTGTTGGACCGATTCCAGGCAATAGAGACTGTTGCCACCCTGGAGACCAAGGCACACAAACTCATGAAGCAGAATAATTTCTTGGCCAGTAAGTACTTGGCAAAAAAAATGTGTTCACCAAGGCACCAGCTCCAATAGGTGGTCATTTGTCTCGTCTCCCTAAGTGCATGTTAAGTTTTCTCAGGAAGAAGTCTTACAGAGAAACCATAAAATGGAACAGAGGTGTATTCACTGAGCTAGTGAAAAGATGTCTCCTATGCTGTCACAATCCCCAGGGTACCACTCCCTGCTATGTCTGTCTGCACTGCTTTTGACTTATTTCATGGTCAAATCTCACACAAGAAGCAGTGTACTCAAACTCCCTCCATCAATCTTATTTTTTTATCGCAGTATCTTGATGCTCTGAAATAGGAAAGAGAAAATACAATGGCCAGTTAGATTCTATTACTGATTGTACATCTGTTCAGCATAAGTGATAAGTGTGATGCATCCTTACATCCTTTTTGAACAGACACCAGATTATTACTTTTGTTGCTGTTTGGTGCTGGGGATTTAAGCAGGACCTTGAGCAAACTCAGTACATGCATGGCTGCTAGACTATATCTCCAACTCCACAGAGTTTATTGTCATTTGAGATGAGTTTTCTAGGGATGCAGGGATGCTGTAGCAAAATCCTACCAAGTTCAGCCTGCAGTCAGTTCTGCAGACTGGAAGTCTATAGTCAAGATGACCCCTGGTTTTCTTTGATGGCTGTTAGGGAAGGCTTTATGTGGGCATATATTGGATTATTGATGCATGTGTCTTCCCAAAATCTCATCTATGCATGCATCTGCGAAATTTCGCCTTTTCATAAGGATGCAGTCATTTTGACTTGAAGTCTACTCTCACAGCATCATTTTAACATGACAACCCCTTTCAAGGTATAATCTTCACAGGTGGGAGATGGATGGCATAAAGGATGCTTGTTGTTGTGCAAGCTCAAGACCTAAGTTCAAATCCACAGCACCCATGTTAAAAACAAAAACAAAAACAAAAACAAGGTTGTGGCTACATAAATAAATTTGAACACAGGGAACTTCCCAGAGACTCATACTCCAACCAAGGACTATTCATGGAGATAACCTAGAACCCTGACAATGCAGCCAGTTCTGATGAGAACTGATAGACTAAGATCAGAAAGAAGGAGAGGAGGACCTCCCCTATCAGTGGACATGGGGAGGGGCATGCATGCAGAAAGAAGGGGGAAGGGTGGGACCAGGAGGGGAGGAGGGAGGGGCTTATGGGGGGATACAAAATGAATAAAATGTAATTAATAAAAGTTGAATTAAAAAAATAGTTTCAAAAAAAAAAAAAAGGACTGACCCCCGATGTGATAGCTGCAGAGACAGAATTGTTAAGGCTTCGTGTCTGCCAGCCTAGCTCCACGTTCAGAAAGAGATGCTGCCTCAGGGGAATAGGACAGTGATGGTGGAAAAGGACCCTTAATGCTTCCTTTAGCCTCCACACGCATGCACATACACTTACACACATATACATTTAACACACACACACACACACAAATACATACATTAAGAAGACACACAGTCACACACACAAATGTATACATTAACCAGACATACACACAGTCACAGTCACAGTCACTCACACACACTCATAAACAAAGACACATATAATCATACATCTAAATACAGCCCTCCCACAAAGACATATATATATATACATATACAGCACTCACATGATGTTCTCTTCTAGGAGTATCACATTCTGATTTCCA